TGGGGGTGGGGGGCAGCAGGAAGCGGCGGCTGCGCTTGACCACCGGAGGCCTCAGCCAGCTTGCAACGTCCAGGCCAGGGCACCTCACAGGTGAGTGTCTTCCTCGAATACGTCGGAGTCCTCGGGGTCCCGTTTGCCCCCCATGAGGGAGCTCCAGCCACCAGGGCCATTGACAGCCCCGCCTCCATTCAGGCTGGGCTGCTTCTCCTGCATCTCCGACTGGCTGTCGCTGGCCACGTCCAGCGTGGGGTTGTCGTGGCAGCCGTTTTCAACGAAGCGCAGCTCCTCGCCATGTGACTGAAGGCAGGTGGGAGAGGGCTGCTAGTCTGACACGCCTGCAGCCTCCACATGCCTGACCCCAACTGCCCTGGTGCCCACGCCCCACCTCCACCACAACAGCACAGCCAAACTCCAGCATGATCCTGGCTCCACCGTTTCCTTAAGACCTTGAGTGAGTCACTTCACTACTCTTTTTCTTAGCAGGTAAAACCCTGCACAGGAATCCCCAGGGTACCTGTCCCCACAGCTAACAATCCTAATCATCCCTGATCCCTCCCAATTTCCCCATTTTCTAAAGGAGGGGGCTAGAGACTCATGGACGGCACCAGGGCACCTTCAAAGGTGGCCAGAATTTGTGCCCCTTGCTTTCAAGAAGCCCCTAGACCGGAGCCCTCTTCTTGCCCCCCACCGCCACCCCTGCCATCAGGAAGCACTGCTGCCATTGGGAGGCTGGCTCCTGCCGCCTGAGGTTCCTGTGGGGGCTAGTACTCCACTCAGTACCCGTGTCTCCCTGCAGAGGCAGTCAACTGAGTTGCCAGGCTCTGGACAAAAGTGCTTTGTGTACCTGTCCCCACCCAAGTCCTCACCGTAGTGCTGGGGCCAAGGCTAGTTCCTCATTACCACCCCCACTCAAAAGAGGAGGCCAAGAGCTGCTCTCTCTTCAGTGGTACCCACACTCAGCTCAGGCCCCGCTGCCCCCCGGCCACGACTCACCACATGCTTGAGCTTGGGCAGCCGGCGCTGCCAGCAGTTGTAGAGCAGGCCAAGTACGATGATGATGACACAGATGGCACCGATGACCACCAGCACCACAAAGAGCGTCCCGTAGTCACTGCGCACCTGGCTGGGTCGTGCCTGGCAGCTGCTTGTGGTGGAATAGTTCTGGATGCCGATCTGAAGGGATACAGGAGAGCCGGGCTCCTCAGCTGGGGCAGTCAGCAGATTGCCAGGTTGGGACGCTGGGGCTGCGGCATTCTTTGAGAAGGAGCAGGCCAATGGTGGCTGCAGACTCTGAAGCCCCTTCAGAGGCTTAGGCCTTAGCCCCTTAGCAGGGGCTCTCTGCTCTGTCCCATCCCAGTAGCTGAGGGCACTACCAAGCCCTTCCCAGGGGCAAGTTCTAGCCCCCTTCATATCCCCACCATATTTCCATAGTTTCTGTCCTAAACCAGTTGGTGCAAGAGTCTGTGGCCCTAAGGGGAAACCGATCACAATGATCAACATATAACTCCCTCCCAGGAAGACAGACAACAGAAAAGTGGGTGAAGGGAGGCAGCAGTCGGTGTAAGACATGAAGGGACAAAAAGAAATGATCAATTATCAAGAGTTCATCAGGGAAAATGAGCTGATACCAAGGGCTCTAATAGAAAATGTTTTGAAAATTATGATGGCAACATATGTACAAATGTGCTTGACACATGGATGGATAGATGGATGGATGGAATGTGAATAGATTGTGAATAAGAGACCCCAATAAAATGATTTTTTAAAAAATCTGTGGTCCTAACCCTCTGCTAAGGCTGACCCACATGTTGCTGGTGGCTAGAAAGAGCAGAGAGCACCCAGCCCCATCCACACCAATGCTCTCAATTTAAAAGGGAGAAAAGTAAAGGCCGCAAAGACCCACTTGCCACCATCCTCTACCCACACACAACCACTGATTCTAGCCCCAGAAACCGCTTCCACATGAAGGACTACTGTGGACTAGTCAACTTCAGATCCCAGGGGCCGGCCCCCCTAATAAACCGCCACTGACCTCCCAGCCATGTCCACATATAGTCTTGGTTGGGCTGCCCTCCATGGGCCTACCTTCTCTGGTTAAGTGGCTGCTATGTCCCACCAGGCCAGACAGACCCTCTCCCATTGCATTGCAGTGAATTACCTTCTAGCCACAGCTTTTGTTACTTCTTCTAAATGACCTTCATTTTCTTGATAGGTCTGCCTAAGAAGGGATTGCACTAGCAAGAGAGAAGAGCCGAGCGAGAAGCACGTCCTTTGAACCGTGAGATCCCTGCATATCGAGTCTCCTTGACTCAAGAAACAGCCCTGACACCAGAGGAGTGTGAGAGGATATGTAACAGCAGAAACAGGAGCCAGAGGATAAGACAGAGGGGCAGGCTTTCCAGCTCACAGAGCAAATGAGACACTGGTTTGGGGCAGGAGACTGGATTGTGGATTGGGTGTCTGCAGGCACTTAATTGGTGGAAGTGGGTTTGCTGACCCACTGAGCTAAAACTGGAACTCAGTGCCTTTTGGTTAAGGAGTGGCATGCCCTTTGGGCATTTATTGGCAGTCTGGAGAAGAGCTTTGTAACCTTGCTTGAGCAAGAGAGAGGCCAAATCAAGAAGGCTGCCTGTAGGTTCAGCCAAAAAGGTCCTGACTGAACAATATCCTAAATGATCTTACATGAATTGTAACCTGTTAACTTTTCTAATTAACCTCAAATTGTGAGTATCACCTGTGAGTTGTGTGTGGCCATTTCGATGAATTGCCAAACCCACCCACAGAAGTAGAATGCCATGGCGTCAGAACAGGAATGGGGGGTGGAGACATGCCTGGCCTCTGCTTTATCCCTTGAGAACACACCATATCACTGGCCCCTACACCATTTCCTTACTCACAGACTGGAATCTTGGGCAAGGGAGGTAAAGGTAAAGTCATCTTTCATGCCTTTTGGCCAAGTGGGTCTGAACTACATGTCCTCCCCTTCAGTGTGCCCAGTAAGACCAGAATACCAAGGGGCAAGGAGAAGAAACAGGAGGATCTGTAATAAAAGGGTAAGGCAATATGTGATCCAAGGATTGTAAATAATAACATCCAAGTTCAGAGGAGGAAATTGTACTAGAATTAAATTCTCAGCAACGATTTGCAGAAGGCTACAGATGACAGTGAAAGTCCCAAATCCATTTGCAGAGTCCCTGAATTACATGAATTAACTCCCCATTGAACTCCCTCACACCATTGACAAGGGATGCAAATAGTCTTGCCCTCAGATAGAGGGCATTGGAAAGTGGACCACTGAAGATATAGATTAAAAGAAACATCATTTGTTTTCCTTTCAACCCATTTTCATCTGTTTTAGTTTCTATTATCTTTTGTTTTCACTTGGATTGGGGTTTTTCTGTTTTATTTTGTTGTCATTGTTAAGGATTTTTTGTACTACTTTCCTGATATGAAATCCAGGATAGTTAATCCATAAAAACATTAACTAGATTACTAGTTCCTTAGGGTTATGGCAGGGGCAGTTAGAGGATAATGCGAGTTAATAGCAACAGGTACAGGAATGAAGAAAATGTTCTGAAATTGATTGTGGTGATGATGCCCAATTCTTTTGAATATATTTAAATCACTGAATTGCACAGTACATGAATTATATACCAATAAAACCGTTAGGGGAAAAAAAAAGCAAGATGAGCTGAAGTCTCCACAGTCCCCAGGTGTTCATAAGCCCAGAATTTTAAAAACTGGAAAAGCCCTCATGAACCAATCCAGGTTCAAAGTTTAGCCCTACCACTTACTAGCCATGCAATTTCAGGCAAATCGTCTAGCCTATCTGGGCTTCAGTTCACTCATCTAAATAGGGATGCTACCAGGATTCAGCACAGGGGTTATTTAATCCTCATAGCCCCATGGGATGGGGAAAGGATTCAGTGAGAATCTGTGCAGCCTGATACACAGTACTCAAAATGCATACAAAATCAAAACACTCATTCCTGCAGGTAGCAGATAAGGATGCGGGGGCCCAAGATGACACACAGCTCATCTTTGATGTCAAACACTGAAAAGCCCTCGAGAATTAACTGGATTTCATAATTAGTGAAAATAGTTTAGGAAAATGTTAGTTATCCTCAGAACAGTATGGTCTTCCCTTTCAAGGAACACATTATAAGGAGCAGAAGACTGGGCCGGCCCCTGCCCACTTCCCACAGGCCAGTGGCTTTGCTCTACTCTAGTTGCCCAGGCCGTTTCCTCAGCCCAGCCTCTCCGGGACCTGCCAGGCAGCCGCCAGAATGCCTTTGGGTTGCAGTTGTCTCTCAGGATGACAGAGCAGGTTTCTGCCTTGACCTATCATCTCAGCACCAGGTCCCTGGCTGGATGAGTGCTCAATTTCAAACTCACTGCTGTTGAGTCGATTCCGAATCAGTGACCCTACAGCAGGGTCGTCAAACTTTTCAAACAGGGGCCCAGTTCACTGTCCCTCAGACCCGTTGGAGGGCCGGACTGTAGTTTTAAAAAAACTATGAACAAATTCCTGTGCTCACTGCACATATCTTATTTTTAAGTAAAAAAACAAACGGGCCAAAAACACCCAGCGGGCCTATAAATATCCTCAGCAGGCCACATGTGGCCCACGGGCTGTAGTTTGAGGGCCCCTGCCCTACAGGGTAACTCTTTATGGGAGTAGAAAGCCTCATCTTTTTCCCTCAGAGCAGCTGGTGGTTTCAAACTGCTGACCTGGTAGTTAACAGCCCAAGTCCAACCACTAGACTCAAATTGAAGAGTATTTGCTTGATGGTTTATCTCCATGCTCCCGTTTTCTCCTTCCTCCCCACTGCATGTGGTTCCTGGAACCACATTATGTTCTTCCATCCCTACAAGTCCCTGCACAAATCCTTCTACCAGAGATAGTGCTTCTCCTGTTGTCTACCCAGAACTTCTCATTCAACCACCAAAATCTCCCTCAGAAACCACCTCTTTGCATCTCTTGACATACATTCACTGCATAGCTCTAAGTTACGTGCTCACAAGCTTGTCTTGCCACTGGCCCTGTGTCTTAGGAAGATCTTAAAGAAGAAGACTCCCCAGAGCAGGAACTTACCGTATATAATATAAGCCGACCTGACTATCAGCCAAGGCACCTAATTTTACCACAAAAACTGCCTTGAAAAATGTGCTGAAAAACTTGGCTTCTACATGAGAATATACAGTATCTTTCACCTCCTTGAGCCACACATTGTAAGCAGCCTCCTGTCCTTGAGAAAAGCCAGCCCTGTTCCCAGAGCATGCAGGAATGAGGGCCGGAGAGCACGTCAGTGAACTGGATCCTGCAGCCCCCCTCCATGTTCCTGACTCTTACCTCCACCAGGCTCCTGCGGATATCACCCAGCATGGAAAGGACATCTTGAGTAGGCATCACCCCTGGTTGGAGGGAGAGATACTCGTTTATCAACATGGTCTTGGCCACAGAGCTCTGGCTTCACAGGCTCCCAGCTCCCTTCTCAAACAGCTCCTGACCTAAGTTTTCATAGCCTCGTGGCTTATCTCCTAATGATCCACAGGTCCTTGGGCTACGTGAACGCCAGCTCTCTCCTATACCTACTTTCTATTGAACTGAACTTTAAAAACTATTTAGTGGACTCTGACTGTTAGACAAGTATATTTCTACAACCCCATTCTGCTTCATTCCATGCCCGTGTGGAAACCACACCTTCTTCTTATTCCTAATAACTAACTCCCACCCTCCACGTCCTCCATGGAACAAAGCTTGTTGGAACTCCCTAATCCTCAACTAGGGAGTCCTATCAGTGACTCGTCCTACTCTCCTAGAGTCCAAGTTCAAAAGCCCTTGTTGTCTGTGCACTTTGCTGACGCTCTGGGGAGACTTCACAAGGCCCTGGAAACTGGTTGGATGAGTGCTAGTGGACTTCCAATTGGGGAGTACTTGCTGAGTGGATTACTTCTGTGCGGTCTCTCCACATGTGGTTCCTAGAAGCACACCATGCTCTGACATCCTTACAGGCTGTTAGTTCACACGACCTTCCTGGGTCCTCGCTCCAGAGGACCCCACTTACCTGCCTGCCTTCACTCACCCTGCTTGCCCACCAAGGTCATTAGCAAGTGCTGCTCCTTCTCACTGGGTTTGCTCAGGGAGATGTGCCAGTCCCCATGGTGGCCGATCCCGTGGCGGGGCAGCACCTCCTCTACCAGGGCCAGGAGCTGCAGCCCGCGGTGCCGCCGGAACACCTCCTGCAAGGTCAGAAAGAAGCCCACCACCCCATCCTCAGTCAAGGAGAAAGGCTCAGCTGGCCCCTCGACCCCTAGATCTGGCCTCCCATTTCAACCTCAGCCCAGAACCTAAATTCCATTCCCAGGGAGAAAGGATACTCTGGGAAGTTCGTGCATGACAGGAGTCGGGCCTCCGGGTGTGGTGGGAAGGAAGGGGGAGTGCAGTAAGACACACTCATTGGTTCACTGCCAGCCTCCAGGATTTCCTTCGTGCCCTGTGCTCCTGGTGTGCGGAAGGCAGGAGGCCTGCCTGAAGACACGTACAGTTTAGATGGGAAGGTGGTTACACCCACATACGATGCCAACCCAGGAGACTATGAACATATGGAAATAGCCACCTAGCAACAAGGAAAGCCCAGCTCCTAAAAAACCCAGTTTCTTAACCATCCTCGTGTATGTGTGTATACACACACACACACACACACACGTGCACATGTGCACATGTGCTCGTGTCAGCACCTGCCTGAGTGAGGGTGGATGTCCAGTGGCCCAGCAACCCGACTGCTTAGAAGACAAATATACCAGAAGTCCTTCCTGTACACTGTACCCTGTGCTCCACCAGGTGTGCACACCCATGCCTTCCTAGGTCAAGATGCCTGCCTAGCTTAAACCCAGAGGCCTACCATGTTAGAACCAGAAAGACCTATATAACTATATGAGTCATGCCATTTATTTTATAGGTGGGGAAACTGGGTCACACTGGTATGAGGAAAGGCCCTGGCTTTGAATAAATCTGGGTTCAAATCCTAGTTCTGCTATTTACCAGCTCTGTGACCTTGAGCAAAATAATAATGCACGTTCCTGAGCCCTCTCATCTGAAAATGTAGGCATGTTCCTAATATTCTAGGCTTCCTGGGAGGATTTTACAACTTCAATATTGGTGCTGAGACAATTGTAGATCCCAGTGGAAGAGAAAATATGCACCATGATTCATACCTTAGGCCATACACCAAAATCAATCAAGATGGTTTATAGATCTGAAGCTTTTAAAAATAAACTTAGGGGGGAGAGAGCACTCAAATTGCTCATGATTGCATAACCCAGTTTAAAGGCTATAGAACCATGGGGGGGGGGCTCTAAGATGGATATGGTGGTGGTTGTACAACTCCTCTTGATGTGATTGAACAATTGAAATGTTCAACTGTATGATATGTAAATTATGTGCCAATAAAACTGTTGGGGGAATAAAAGTAAGCTTACAAGTAATCTTCATGATCTTGGAGTATGCAAAGCTCTCCAAACAAGTCCAAAATATATTTACCATAAAGGAAAAATCATAAATTTGACTATATTATGATTAAGTTTTAAAATTTTTAAACTTCTATTGATCATAAGATACTATAATGAGTGTGAAAAGGCCACCCACACAGTGGGAGAAGATACTCACAGTACATAAAAGGAGGGCTTTAAAGAGGTCATGGAAACAAGAGTTAAAAGATCATGGAAATTTCCATTAACTTTTTTTTTTAGTTGGGATTTAATACATATGTATCTTTCCATATTTCAATCACGTCAAGTAGAATTGTACAATTGCTACCACAATCAGCTTCCAAACATTCCTTTTCTACATGGACTCCTCAAAATCGTCTCCCTACTACCCTACCACCCCCACTATACCCCACACCCCCCAAACCCCTTATTCTACTTGCTGTCCCTATCGGTTCATCAATCCTGAGCTTCATATACTAAAACACGGAAAAGCATATTACACCGCTTCAAGAGGGTGGCCTCCATTGACATAACACCTCTGAGATACACTCTAATATAACAAACAAAAACTGAACGAAAAAATACAAACCAAAGATAGAGAACTTTTGTAAACCACATCAGGTTTCCAGCCCACATCATGGGGTGGTGGGTGGGGGATCTACTGACAAAGTTTTAAGTGTTCAGGTCAGATTCATGCCTTTGATCTTCTATATTCCTCTCTGCCAAGCACTCTGTTTAGTGACGCCTTTCCTCCCATCCCTCACTTACACATGGGAGGGAGGGGGTGCTCCGGAGGCTTATTTCCTAGGTAATTCCACCAGTGACTCTTGGGGTCCCACTGTCACCCATCGCCTTCTGCACACCGGATTCTCACAATGTAGGCTCTGATACTGATCCCTCCTTCGACTTCAGATTATAAGGATTCCAGTCCTTTGGTGGCTGATGTTGGTGTGCTTCTTCCATGTGGACTTCGTTGACATCTCACTTAGATGGCTGCTTGTTTGCAGCCTTTAAGACCCCAGACACTATTTTATCTGACAGTTGGGCACCATCTAAATTCTTCACCACATTTTGCTATAGCCAGTATCGAACAGGGCTAAGATGTAAGAACTAATTATTCTTAAGTTGGGGCTAGGATTTTGTTCGAACCCAAACCATAAACTTTTTGAAGTTCGCTTGTATAGTTGACAGAAATCTCAAATACATAGTATATAAATAATTCTTACAAATACATAATAAATAGTCAGGCTTCAACTATTAAATTATATGATATGTGAAGTATGTGGCAATAAAAATATTTAAAATTTAAAAGTTTTAAAAAGGCAAGTAATCCCATAGGTAAATTGGCAAAGAATAAACCTTCAATAGGTACTTCATACAAGAGGGTTCACAAATGGCCCAACAGTATATGTGAAGGTGCTTGATTTCATTAGCCATTAGCAACCTACATATTGAAACCACAAAACACTACACACCTTCCAGGTAAATGAAAAATAAATACAATGCCAAGCATTAGCAAAGACAAGGGAAAACCAGAGCTCTCATACACCGTCAACGGGAGTATACATCTGGAAAATTCCTGGTCAGGAAATTGTTGGACATAGGCATACACTGTGGCTCTGCAAGTCCACGCTTACGCATATGCCCATCAAAAAATGTGCCACTCTGTTCACCAAAAGACCTGTCCAAGGATGTCCACAGCAGCATAGTCACAAAAACCTACACCTGGAAACTGCCTAACTGGCCAACAGTAGACTGGATAAAACAATTAAATGCTATGCAAAAGGAGAACATACAAACTTCACGTATATACAACATTGCAAGGGGAACTCAAAAAGGTCGTAGAAAAATTCTCTTTTTAAACTCCATTACCATGAACTTTTTGAAGTTCCCTGGGATGAGTAATCTCACAGAGTTGCTGTCTGAAAAAAAGGCTAACACAAAATGTTGTCGGCGTTAGGTGCCATCGAGTCCGTTAAGCGATTAACTGGCTGGTCTCCTCTCCTCCTCCCTCGCTCTGCACAGACGTGGCTGCTGAGGTCATGGCCATCT